AAGAAACTTGCATTTTTCCTCAGGTTTGTGAATTTTAATACCATTTTGTTTTGGCTCAATACATTTCATGGCCATTAAAGAACTCATTTCTGTGTGAATATTTATGAAAAACGTCGATTAAAGGCACAAAAAAATGTAAATTTTCAGTTACCACGGACTCTTAAGTTAGGGAAATAACTAATCTTTGACGGCCATTTTCTCACTAATTTTACCTCTGAAAACAGGTGACCTCCATCTCCTCCATTGCCAAATATCTCGACTTGTATTCAAGATAAATGGGATATTTTTTTCATCCCCCCCAAAAAAAGACTAGTGAACAAGCTTTAAGATGATACCAATAACTCTCTATGCCCAAAAATTGATGAGAGCCTGATTCCACCACGCTGCGTCGCATATTGTCTTTTTAAAAAGTAGATGGACACTCATTTGGGAAATCGCATGTTTAAAACCCTATCCGTACGTCGTGTATTACAATCGTATCCAAACGACGAGGGGAACTATGTGTCACCACTTTCCAAAGAGGAAATTTACTCGTCAATTCAATCCGTACGCTTTGCGTAGCAGTCTGTCAAAATGATTTTTTGAGAAACACTGAAAGTTTCAAAGAGATCTTTGTACTAGAAATTTTCTATAATGTGAAGAATACAACCCTAGGGGTACAAAATGACTCCAGGGCATACGGATAGGGTTAAGAACGTCAACAGCAACAGTGGCATCCTGAAGAACAAGGTGGGAGATGAAATAATGGCATATTCCTTTTTTAAACATTGAAACACGAGTACAAAAGGTCAATAATGTTAGTTACCAGCTTGTCCCACTACTTACATCCCCATGACAACAAAACTCAAAATGATCAACACCATATTCATCTCAACTCCCACCTATCAATGCCAAACATGTACCACGAACAAGACATTGGAGCAAAGAATTACAATGTGAACTGCGATGTCTTACAAAAGCAGTAAATAAGACCAGGCGAGACAAAATTAGAAACTCAGTAGTAAGAGAAATGGTGGGCACAAATGATGTCATGCAACACATCTAACACCAAAGTTTCGGACATCTCATGCAATTACCAACGCACCATCCAGCACGACGTGCCGACATAAAAATAAATTCAACGACAACAAGGCTAGTGGGCGACCGAAAAAGATCTGGATAGATGGAGTCAGGGAAACACTAACAACTCATGGCATCCCTTTAACCCAAGCTCTCCGCTGGTGGCAGAGAGACTTCTCTTTCTTCCCGCGAAACCCAAAAGGGTATAAGCGGCGGATAAAAGTAAAAGTAAAGTAAAGTCCTTTCAAAAAGTAGATGGACACTCATTTGGAAAATCGTATGTTTAAGAACGTCATCAGCTACAGTGGCTTCCTGAAGAACAAGGTGGAGGTGAAGTTATGTCATGCTCCTTTTTGTCATTTCTATTTTTTAAATGTCCCTAAAGGCAGTTAAAATAAAATAAAGCAACAGAAATGTGGTTTCTTAGGAGACTGCTGAGAATATGTTGGAAGGAAAAGAAATCAAATGAGGCAGTACTTGAAGAAGCCCAATTAGGAAAAGACAAATGCAGTTTTTGGGACTTTTAAGTAGACATTAAGGCCTTTTAGCATCCAGCTCTCACCGGCAAAATTGAAAACAAATGAGACAGGGTAGGCCCAGAATGACCTACTTTGAGAACCTAAACAGACACGCAAACAAACAGACATACACTACCTGGCCTAAACCTGTGTAAATTTTTTGATATTCACCATGCACAATATTAGCTGTTAATATAGAATTTGAAAGAAGACAACTGGGTTATAATGTTCTCAGTGTTTCCCTAATAACATTGACCCCCCCCCCCCATTTTCCCCCGTTGCCTACATGACAGACTCGCGTGCTGGTCACTCACGGCATCCACTGGCTTCCCATGGTGGACTCTATTATTGTGTTGCATCAGGGCAAAATCATACAGGTGAGTTATGGTGTGCGAGTCTCTCTCTCTCTCCTTCTCTCTCTCTCTCTCTCTCTCTCTCTCTGTCTCGCTCAGCCCCCCTCCCCCCTCTCTCTGTCGCTGTGTATGTGTGTGTGTGTGTGTGTGTGTGTGTGTGTGTGTGTGTGTGTGTGTGTGTGTGTGTGTGTGTGTGTGTGTGCGTGCGGCTAGAGAGAGAGAGAGAGAGAGAGAGAGAGAGAGAGAGAGAGAGAGAGAGAGAGAGAGAGAGAGAGAGAGAGGGAGGGAGGTAGAAATGATTGTCGGGTGCTCTGGAGTGGTTTGCGCCTTCTTTCCTATCAAACATCTATCATCCTTATCTCTCCTCCTCCTACTTTCCTTGTATATCTCTAATCTTCTGCTCTTATATGACCTATTTATGTTACACGTGCCGTAAAAATTGTTATACCAAAACTAATAATAATTTCTCTCACCCCTGTAGAAAGGAACGTACGAGGAACTGCTCACCAAAGACGGACCGTTCGCTCAGTTCTTGAGGGACTATCTCCTTGATGATGAGGAGGTGGACGATCCTGAGAGTACGTATCGAGTTGTTGTGCTGTCGTTTTTGTTGCTGTTGTTGTTGTTGTTGCTATTGTTGTTGTTGTTGTTGTTGTTGTTGTTGTTGTTGTTGTTGTTGTTGTTGTTGTTGTTGTTGTTGTTGTTGTTGTTGTTGTTGTTGTTGTATGTATGTGTGTGTGATAGCCTATCCTTCCACATTGTTTAGAGTTCGGAAGACCGTACTTTTCGCCAGGGCCGCTGCCTCTCTTGGGTAGCAGGTTATTGTTGTTGTTGTTGTTGTTGTTATTGTTGTTGTTGTTCCAATATATATATTTTTGCTAATGATATTGGTGTTTTGTTGCTTTTTAAAATTGTTGGTATTTTTGCCACCCCATATCCTATCGCTGTTCTTTTTTCCTTGTTAATGCTTGTTTTATTCTGGTGTTTTCAAACACTGTTGTTGTGATCAGTGTTGTTACTCTTGTTTTGCCAGGAAGGTGTTGTCCTTGTTGCTGTTTGTTTGTTTATTTATTACTAATTATTTTTTGCTTTCGTTGTAATCGTTGTCGGTTCTTCTTGCTGTTGTAATGGCAACAGCAGTAAAGATACGTACCCCCCCCCCCACACCCAAACACCCCTCCCGGGGAAAAAAATCCCAGCCCCATAGATGTATAGCGGAATAGCAAGGATGCGCATATAGACCAAACAATCTCCGAAAAATAAGTATATAAGAGAAAAGGTATAAGATTTGTAAGTTGTAAGGTGGGTGCCCGGGGCGTCAAAAAAAACCCACAAAAAGATATGTTATGAAGTAGAGGGACTACA